ATTAGGGGTGAATAGAATGCACAACGTCAAAACAACGTGAATTGACAGGCATTAATCATAAAGTTGATAAAATTACTGAAAAGATCTTACAAAGGAAGACTAGATCTGTGAAGAGGTCCATGATTTATCTTTTTGGCCTGCCATTCTCTCATGTTTATGACACTTTCCAGTTAACTTCTTATCATACAATTATATATAATGAATGATATTATTATGCCTACTTTCTTTTTCTTTTTCTTTTTTTGGATGTATCGTATTGTAAAAAATGATGGGTACACTAAAGGGTGATAGGGAAGGATGGTGATATAGATGGAAGTTAAAAACAATAATAATTAAAGAATACATATTTTTTTTATGGGTGAAAGGCATCGTGTAAATGTGAACTTAAATTTATAAATTTATTTTTTCTAAAATAATAATAATAATAATAATAATAATAAAGTTTGTCTTCTTAGAAGATTTTCAAAACCTTAAATGGACCAAAAATCATACCTCAACTACAAAACACAAATAAAAAAGTAAAATTACAATGGAAAGAAGTAAAAAATCCAAAATGAGTATGAAATCTAAAAAAAATAAAGAAAATCACAAAAACTACTAAGATCAAAGATCCTAATGAGATTTTTGGTATCTAAATATTATAGTATTTATATAATGACAAAATAGTTACTCAATAAAAAACGATCTCTGAAAACTCTTGTAAAAATTCAAGCACAATTTAATAATCGGATACAAAATTATAATTTTTTTGAATAATTATTATAGTTTGATAAAATCATACTATCTTTTGAATCTATATTTGTTTAGTGGTCCATAAATATATATATTAGACCATCTATATAATATATATTTCGAATAAATTTTTGTTTGGTGGTGACAAATCAACACCTAATTGCTTAAAATAACTTGTTATTATAAACTCGACTACACCAAATAATTATGAAAAATGTTAACTCATTCATTAAGTATTGTTTGGCCAGCAAGAAAATTATAGAAATTCATCTACCTAAATACAAAAATTATAAGTGAGGATGTATAGGAACAAATCTTTTTGATCTTTTCTTGGATCTCCATATATATATATATATATATCTTATCAAACAGAAAACACCTTATTCAATTCATTCAATGAGGTAGCTATTCTTTTTTATATTTTTTTTTTAGTTTTATTTACATTTATGTATATATTATAACAAAAGAGATCAACATAAACGTGAAATCCAAGAGTTTCTAGATGAATTTGGCACACTTAAAGTGAGAATTACTAAGCCCTTAACTTCCAAAACCATACAATATAAAACATGATTTCTAGGTAAATGTCATGTTTCACCAATATCAATGGTGGATCATGCATTAAAAAGACAATTCTAACTTTTTTTACCTATTGGACTGGGTTGGTGGTCACAACTAATCATATTTGTTTAGCTATTGGTATTGATTTGAAGAGGCGTAATAAGCTAAATCAAGGTAATTAACGAAAGCACAGAGAACATATAGACTTTATCATTTTGTTGCCTATATATCCATCACAATCCGCAGGTTACTTGTGTAAGGGCCCATGGAATGACTAATTATGCATTATATATATTAAATCTTTTCTTAATTATAGGTTTTGTCTTTCTCCAACACAAGAAATCTGGTTTTCAAGATTTGCAGTCCTCATCTTTAATCCATGTGAACTAGTAATGACAAACATAAACTAATAAGATATTGTCTGAAAACGCACCGTGTCATCACTTCCACATATTTGGGATGGTCAATGATCAAAAGTGAAACCAAGTACCTTAGCTAGCTAGGCACGTACGTAGGAATCAAAGGATAGCTTATGCATTAAGTAATAATTCTACTTAAAAATATTCTAACTCGTGTATATTTTTTTTTTATTAAACCATACCGTAAGAATATATATAATAGTAGAATTTTTAATTATTAGTTGAAGAATGAATTTCCAAGCGCAGCATATACATATGTATAGTTGATTTTGAGCCCAATTTATAATCAATAATCTAAATATTAAACTCAGGAATGTTCTCTTCATAAATCAATATATAAAATTTCAAGATGACGCAGCAGCAAAGTTGTTGTAGGGTGACCTTAGCCAGCACCTTCAGAACAGGGATTGGTCTGGAAGAAATTAAAAGCGGTGGAGGTGACATTGATGGAGACTGAATTAAAGCTCCGGTGTGCTTTTACGTGGAAATTGCTTTACAGCATGCATGCGTTTTTCTTTCTTTTCTCTACATTTCAAAAGATGATCACCCTGGCACGTCACCTTATAGAGGGGACTGCACAGGCAAATAAAGGTAAGAAACGCTTTCCTTTTCCTTTTGGTCACCATCGCGGCCACCATTAAGGAGAATTTCTCAGCAAATCGAAAGCTGCAATCACACTAATCGCTATTGAATTATTCACAGCACTTCCAATGGGTTTTTTGAGCTGCACAACCCAAATTATTGAGTCACTTTATATAATTCTTAATTTCACCCTAGCGCCTGCTTATATATATATATATGATCCAGGGTTTTTTGCTCCATATTTTCTTATGATTATATAGTGGTGATCCAGGGTTTTTTACTCCATATTTTCTTATGATTATATAGTGGTTTTCACAGCTCATCTAAAACTCAATTAAGTCCTAATTCTAACGAATTCGAGTCGGTAAAGCCCAAATAATAGATAAATAAATAAATTACAAACACAAATAAAAGTTAATGCTGGTCAACCTCTAGCTAGCTATCCCTACAAACTACAAGTCTATAACTACATAGTTCAACTTTAATAAAATCTCCCAAAAAAATAACATCTCGAGTAATTAGCCTTATATACCCTCAAAGGAAAAGCATCACAATAAAACATTCCAAAGAAAATCTCTCAGGACTACAAGAGTCTCGTACTACTCTTTGAATCGAAGCCAAACAATAAATGAAAACGCGTTTTTGTCTCTTAACCCTTGAAATAAATAACAAAGAATAATAATGTTGGGACAGTGTCAAATATTCTTGAATATCACACAGTGGATATATATATATATATATATATGTTATTCTTGAATATCACACAGTGGAGATATATATATGGTTCTATAATTGACAACACGTCATTGAATATGGAGGAGACATTGGGGTAGGATTTCAATCGTCTCAAACATCCACATCGCATCCCCTATAGTTGTTTTTTTAAAACTTTTAAATTCCTTCCTTCAGGCCACCAATTAAGGAGACACTGTTACGAGCATAATCAAGGACAAAAACATGGATTATTTTATGAACAGTATTTCTTAGACTTTTTGTATGTAAGAACTTGACGAAGACTATTAATTTTAATTACCAATACCACCGTTCAAGACTGGCTTGGCGTGTTAATCTTGAATTCATCTAATTTGAATTTGACAGGTAAATCCATTATCTAGATTAGTTGAGGTTAAGAAAATAAAAAACCTGAATTGACACTTTTAAAATCCGTCCATCAAACTTATTGATTTATTTTATTAAAAAATGTTTTGATTATTTAAAAAAAAAATTCGGTTAACCTTGGTCCAGATTTATTATACAAGACTTATCTCAAATCGGGTTTTAACACTATGTTAATATACATGTTCCAATAATAGGAAAATCTCTTTTATTTTTTATTTCATATCCACATAAACACAAGTAAGATTAGGATGGTGAGATTTTGAATTATTATTTTCTGAATATATCATGATTTATATCTAATGTTTTCCCATCACTTAAATATTGATCGATTAATAGGAAAAAGAAATTAATTATTAATTAGTACCAATCTGGTGCTAGCAAGCAAAAAGTGATATTTAAAACATTTTGGTGAATTGGGTTTTTTCTTGATTTAAAAGAGAAGCATGTATAATTTTAATAACATGATAGTTTTTATATTCCGCTGTAAAAAACTTGAGCTTAAATTATAATATATTTAAATTATGTATTAAATTAGTGTAAGGATAACTCTAAATATTTTGGATAGTTATATCATTAATGTGAATCTAGAACAACTAAAAAAAACACTTTAAATTTGGACCTTAAATCTAATTCATTCTAACAAAAGCTAGTTTAGGGAGAGAAAAGGATTCATTAAAATTTTGAAATTGAAAACATAGATTTCTTCTACATTTGCTAATTGGCTGATGGTTTTTTCATGGAGTCAAGGCTTAAAACTTGGGTTCAAAAACATTAAAAGATGAAATGAAACCTGAAATGCAGCAATAATTTCTACTGACTTTAACCTTCTGCCCTAGCACTAATAGGCCAAAAGGAAGAGAACACTTTTGTTCGACTAGATTTACAAGAATAACCTTAACGTAACATGTGAATTTGTTTGCAGAACAAGCTATAAAGGAAGTGGGGACCCTGTGCATCAGATCATGGAGACAAGTCCTGGATTTTCATAAGCAGAGAAAGCAGTGATTGAGGATATGATGCTCTTTGCTTTCTCTCTGTGTTAATCTTTTTTTCAAGTTTTCATTAAAGAAAAGAAATAGTACTGATATATAAAAAGAAATCTAAACAACAACCACCCAATATCTGTAAACTTCGAAGGGCTTAGCTGGGTTCTCCAAGTCAAACCAAAACGAAAGATTTTTAGGGCAAGCAGCCAAGCCACAAAAGGCCACAACCCACCTCTCATTCTGCTATATATCTTTATCTTTTCAGATTCTTTTTTCGTACATGACCTAGACTACCCAAAGTTCGAAAAATTAACATTATTTACAAGTATGGTTTTCGTAATATGTATGATCTCTAATCAAGAAAACACACGAAGAAAACAAAAACAAAAACTTGTGGCAACTTCAGTTGATTTGGGTTGGTTTGATGTGAGGTAAAGTTCTTAGTATGATCCAAATTAAGACCCAACTCAAGATAAATAGATGTTCTTCAAGACACAGTTTTGCCCTCCATTTTAGTTCAAATGTTAAATCCAATATAAAGTTCAATCATATTAATCAAGATTCCCTTGAAATTGATTTGTTGATGGCAAGAGGGGTAAAAATGGTATCATCGCAGAATATTATTACAATACACATTCACATTTTAATTGTTAAGGTTATTATATATATATATATAAGCCCCTACTCTCCTAGCTTAAAGCACAAAACAATTAAAGTGGTCTCAAAATTGCAGAACTTCCTTACCATCTGCCACTACTTTTTCTATATCTTTGTTTGGTGTTTTGAAGTGGTTCATGGATATTGATCCCTTCTGGATTACTGGGGGGTGGCTCATAATTACCGATTTTAACTTCATGGCACCAGCTAGAAAATCACCACTGTGCAGAACCACAACAAAATTACAAGCTATGGTGCTTTTTCTTGATCTTCTCTTGATTGTCCCTCTCCTTGCTCGTCCCATAGATTTATCCAAGAAACTCACGGCGGCTTCCTCACCTACAGGAACAAAACATTCTGCCACAGAAATGCATCCACGTGAATCAAAGTATGCACCACCTTCTAGTACCACTGCCGCCGCTGATATGACAAGCAGGACCACCACCACAGTTCCTACCACTCCCGCAGTTTCTGCTTCAAATCAACAGTTTAAAGCCGCTGCCCATGAAGTACCTAGTGGTCCAAATCCCGAATCCAATTAACAAGTAAGCTTGAGGAATCCTCCTTGATTCCGGCCATTATTATTCCCATGATTTTAAACGATATATCTTCCTCAAATTTGATCAGCGAAGACATTAATGGGTTTCGAAGTGCATCACCTTCGCTGTCTATTTTGTCCTAGAGAAGCACTAGAATATTGTGTATATAGAGCAAGCAATACTTCATTAGTTTTTGTTCAATTTTGTGTATGTCAGTGTGTGTGTGAAATCTTAGTGTGCATGGGGTGATACTGTTGGTCCTATGTAAGACCTTTTCAGGACAAGAATAATAGTACATGTGTAGTCAATTATTGTAATACTATATGATTATATGCTCAAGTTCATCGTGTCGTGTGAATATAATTATAACCTGGCTTTGTAGAGTTCTCTTTTTCTTTATTTTTTCAAAGGGATATTAGTGGATGTTTTCAGCTAGGTCTAGCTGAGAAATATTCAAAGCCTAGCATGTAAACGATGCATGTCTTTTTAAATAGATTGTCATGATGAATTCAGCGATGCAAGTCCTTCGGATTCTTGAATAGTTGAGCTGATCAGTTCATGATGCAAATTGTGAGCGTGTGAAATCTTTGTCCAAGAGCGGAGATGAATGGTGTCCGATGTGTCGTCGGAGGACCTTCATCGGTACTGGGTACCCTTTGTTTTTTCTTCTGTTGAATTATTAATAACCCTGGATTTCTGCAGTTGTCTTTTCATGCACAAAACACAAGATACCTGACACCAAAAAAAGTCGTTTGGTATGATTTGATAACAATAACAATAACAATAATAAATTTTTACTGAGGCTTTCGTGCAGATAATTATTTTTTTAAAAAAAAAAACTAAAGATTGATGGTGGTTGAAAAATACTAAAAAAAAAAAAAACTAAAGATTGATGGTGGTGAATTCATTGTGTCACCTGGCCGTATTGCCCTTAATATATGTATATATATATATAAAGTGGGGTTTTGATATATGTTTGGTGATAGCATTATCTTTGTGATGAGATTATTTGGCATTTTACCATTAATCATGGATAATGCCGTATTTATTTTTTTCAGTAAAAATATGTTTATGTGCTTAAAAGAAATCATTTGTTGAGTTGTCATGAAGAGATTTTTTTTTTATTTGATTGTATAAAGTAAAATAATTGAACTACCCTTGCAATTAAAAAAAAAACAAGCTAATGTCAAGAGTCTTTTCATCTTTTTATTTTTTGTAAGCATGGTAAAAAATACTTAGTTGTCCTTGAAGTTTATATTGTTAAGCAGGGAGGGTTAAAGGGTATTTATAACATCAATCATCTAGTTTTTTTGTTGTTATTGTGTTGGTTAAGTGTTGTTTCATCTTCTAATAAATGAAAAGAAAATAAAAAGAAAAATCATTGATCCTCTCACAACTTTAGTTTATAAAAGAAAGTAAAATAAATATGTCATCGTTGTCTTTGAAAGGTTTGTGCGGTTGATTTTAACGGTAAAAAAACAGCAATGTTTTTACTTCTGTTTCGTCTTGGTAGCTCCTACATAATATGTTTTTTCTGTTTCGTCTTGGTAGCTCCTACATAAAAATATGGCAATTGTAATGAAAAGAACTCTGGCTTGGCATTGCAAGCATTTTTTTCATCTTTCTTTACTTGTTTTCCCGCTGTTTGTGCCCTGCTCCTTAAATTTTCAATCAGCCCCTAAACTTTTTTTTTTATTTTTTTGTTTGGTCCATCTTTTGGTTATTTTTTATTTTAAATAATTTATAAAATAAAATTTTAATTTTATTCTCATTTAATTTTTTTACTTATTCAAATTTAATTCATATTTTTTAATTGTTTTTTATATAATAGGAGATAGTTTTTTAAATTATCTTTTGAGATAGTTTTTAAAATTGTCTTTTTTTTCAATTACACCCTCTTTCAATTTTCTTACTATTAAATTTTATTCTTGTTTTTTTTATTAATTTTTTTTAGTTTATAATTTTTTTACTTGATTTTATTCTTCAACTTTTAATTAGTTTGGATTTAATTTTTTTTAAACCCCTGTCTAGAATTTTACATATTGTAAGCTTTAAACATTAACATGACTTTAAGAGATCTACCCAAAATTGCTTTGGTTTCTTTTTTACTAATTTTTTAAACTAATATTTTTTTCAATTTCATGCTTCAATATTTATTTAGTTAGAGATTTAGCTTTTGTTTTTTTTCCTATCTTTTATTATTTTATTTTATCCTTTGTTTTTTTTGTTAATTTAACTGAATTATTTTGAGTTTTTTTATTTGTTGTTATTTTTTAAATAAATTTTATTTTTAAATTAAATAAATTTGGTTGATTGAATATAGATAAATAGTTACTTCATTTTGTTTTTTCTAACTCTAATTTCGTTGTTCAAGATTTTATAGTGGAACTTAAACCATCCCAACGAGCTTTTTTTTTTTTCAATTAATGGGTGATGTTTATAATTGAGTGATAATAGATTTTCAATGATTTTTTTTCTTTTACTGTCAAGTATGATACGGGCTATTCATTTGTGCGGTCCTTGATTCTTTATAAATATCATTGTTGTCTCAGCATCCTCTTGTATGCTAAAAAAAATGCTTACCGCATATTACAAGTCACTAATCTAGTTTTTTGCTATATGATGAATTGTTACCCCTAAAAAGTAAATTGCAGGTCAACAATGTATTGCTGATTTGATCGAATTTATCACTTATTCGAAGTTCGAGGGGCAAAAATGAGTTGGATTAAAAGAAAATTGACTTAAATCCCAATTCATTTTGGTTAAATCAGTAAATCAAGAATTGAAATTGTCAGTACCTTAGCAAGAAATGAACTGAAAATGGAATTCAAATGAAATGCAATAAAAAATAATAATTCACACGACATTCAATAAAGATATGTGGCCATTTTTCGGTGGAAACAGCCGTGGCATCTGATTTCCTACAATTTGTATTGTCACTATCAAATATAACCAACCATTCAAATCAAGATACCTTTGCATTTGTTCTAGTTTTGTGGGAATATTTCTTATTTTTATTAGCTTGGATTTAGAAAAATCCTTAAAAGCATGTAAAAGAGCTTTTATTAATTATACCAAAGAGAAGCATTGCATCAAAGAATCCAGAAAAAAATATAAAAACATGAATTTCTAACTTCCCAACCATCGATGCCCCTCTTTCCACCCACTTCTGATTGCATTTTAGGTGTCAAATTCTAATTTATGAAGCTTTAGACTTGCACTGCAGGGCTTAGCCAGAGAGGGCAGCCCTTCGAAAAATTAGCGTATGCCGCTATCTGCTGCGAGCACACGGTATTCTTTAGTAAAAGGCGAAAGAATAGTTCGCTATGTGCTCTCCGCGCGGCTGCGTTAATGATCCCGATGTTGTGGACTGCATTAAAAAGGAACTCTTCATTTGGTGGATTCTCTCTTTAGCGATGTGGGATAAATCCTTATCAATGCTTAGCTGCTTCGAGACTTGCATTCTCGTTTGTGCCCATCAGCTTGAGAGTGATTATTTTTGTTTTTAAAATAAATCACATAAATAAAATATTTAGTAAAATATAAAATGTTAATTATTATGTGTTTAATTCATTATAATTTATGTTTTGACAGGAGCTTACCCGAAAACAGCATCAATCTGCTTCTCTTCCAGGGCCGCGTTTATACAGAGTAAATTAATTTATTTTGTATTGTTGATTTTTCATGTGAACAATGAACAACGTTTAATCTCCTCTTTTTTTTTTTTTAGAGTGTATTTGGTATTACGATAACTGTTGTACTTATAGTTTGAAAAATGTTATTTTATAAAAAGTACTTTTAATTGAGATTGATTTAAAAAAATAGGTATTTGGTTAAAACTGTGGTTAAAATTGAGGTTGAAAAAAAAGTAATTTAATGTGTTTGATTAAGAATGCTTTTGAAATTGAGGTTATAAAATAATTTTAAAAAATATATATTAATATTAATGATTTTTAATTTAATATCATGAATTTAACTATTGTTATTACATACATCTGACAAGAGCTACAATTTTTATAATTTTTTAGCATATAATGAAATTAGATAAAATATTATCATTAATAAAAATCACCCTAAACTAGTTTTTTTAACAAAAACAATTAAAAAAATTAATAATCTATATATATATATATATCCACGCAGTGAACAGTGCAAGAGAATTGCACTGTTCACTATTTTTAAGTGAACAATGAAATTCTCTTGCATTATTCACTTGAACAGTGCACCACTCTGCACTGTTTACGTAATTGCACTGTTCAATGAACAGTGCAATTGCGTGAACAGTGAAAAAAACAAGTAATTCTTGTTTTTCAAATTCTGCGTTTTCAACGCAGAAAAAAATATGGGACCCAATAAATAGTATCCCTCGCAACTGCGTTTTAAATAAAAATACAGCTGCAGTCGCAGAGCCAAACGGGCTCTTAGTGTTGCGTCTATATAGAGTAAATTAATTTTGTATTGTTGACTTTTCATGTGAATAATAAAAAATAATTTTATTATTATTAGATGCGATTTAAATTTAAATGTAATAGATTATGTTTGATTTAATAAAAAAATCTAATTTTTTAATTATATTTTCTTTAAAAATTAGTATTTAATATTATTCAATAACATTATATAAATTAGAAAGAAATAATATTATATTTGTAGAATTTGATTATAATCTTAATTTTATTTTTGATAATATTTTTCCTGATTTTGTTGCACGCTCAAAAAATATAAAAACTATAGTTTTTATCAAATGAATTTCTTACATAATAAAATTGTAAATAAATTAATGAAATAATAAAAAATATTTGATATAACATAATATAATAGTAGTTGTTAAATCTATAATATTTAAATTAAACACATCAATATTAATATTTAGCTTTTTTAGTTATTTTATAATATCAATTTGAAAAGTATTTTTAATCAAATATATTAAATTATTTTTTATTTAATCTCAATTTCAACCATATTTTTAATAATATATATAAATATCAAATCCATCTCAATTAAAA